TTTTATCATGGAAGAAGATCAAAACTAGATGAATAATAAATTACAAACAACGATAAATTAAATGCGCATGTAGACAAACAAGCGCTTTTTTGGTTGTTCTTGATGTTGACATCCCAACAAAATATTCATTTTTCTGTGAATAAGTACTCGGATCTCTGAATACAATTTAATTCGGTTTGCAACTTTGGCTACAGTGAAGTGATAAATGAATTTGCAGCAGCAATGTTAAGACTATCAAGGCTATTAGCAGGAATTCTGGCGGAGAATTTGGGGAATCCAAAGGACGCAATTGAAGAAGTTTGTGATGAAAGCACATGTTTTCTGAGACTAAATCACTACCCAAAATCTGAAGAAGAAACTTTTGGATTAGTTCCTCACACGGATAGTGATTTCCTAACAATCCTCTATCAAGATCATGTGGGTGGACTCCAACTTATGAAGGACTCCAAATGGGTGGCCGTCAAACCAAATCCAGATGCTCTCATCGTTAACATTGGAGACCTTTTCCAGGTAAAAATTGAGATGTTCCTTCACAGAACTGCTATAGAGAACTAGCATGCTAATACACAACTCGACCAGTTGAAAGACACCTCATTAAGAATGTGTCATCCAGCTCCCCCAATTCAAGAACAAAACACAAGTGCATTTTCATTTTTAGAGCTGTCAAGTTTTTTCAGCAATAGCAAGACAGAGTAAATGTTTTTAGCAGTTCAGCAGCATTAGATTGATTTTTACATAAATATACTTTCCACCACTAATCCTTATGGGTAGATTTACGGCTTTTTAAAGTACATAAACAAGACTGGAAAAAAGAACCCCAGTCACTCCAATTGTTTTGATGATTGTTATACAATTTTTCCTATAACCCAATGAAAAAGCAAAAAATGTTTACAGCTTCATATTGTATGTTTAGTTTTTAAGTTGTTCTACGCGATAGTTAAGTTACGATAGTTAACTAAAAATGATTCATCTAAAGCATGAGGCACAGAAATTATCAACTAGTACCACTAAAACAAAAGTCCATAATAAGCAGCGGGAATCAGAACGACCATGATACATCAATTATTAAGAGATTAATTCACTAACAAATTCTTTTCTTGGCAAAACCCAAATACAGGCATGGAGCAACGATGAATATAAGAGTGTGGAGCACAAGGTCATGGCAAATAACAAAATGGAGAGATACTCCACAGCATACTTTCTATGCCCATGTTACAATACTTTGATAGGGAGCCGCACAGAGTCGTCAATATATAGGAAATTCACTTTTGGAGAATACCGAAACCAATTCAGGATGATGTCAAAAGATTTGGACACAAAATTGGACTATCAAGATTTCTTCAAGATACCAATCCATTGATAATGAAAAGTGATTGAATGGCACAATACTAGTTTAGTGGGATTAATACTAAAATCCCTTGGTACAAATGGACAAAGAGGTGGTTCCATACTTTCCCCCCACCCCCCTAAATTTCCTTCATTTTTATATATCTTCAGAGGGGTCTAAGATACAAAATATACAAGTGAAAGGAGTCTTGTAATCAAGTAATGCATCATAAAGTACAACAAAATAAAAAGCCATTTCTTTGTTCATTATATGTTTTACCCTTTTCCTTTCAGGTTTTACTGTCATCATGCACACAACTGATTACTGAAGTAGTTTAGATGTGAACTACTTCAACGAAAAACCCAAATATTCAATATACAGAAGCTAACACAAAGAAGCTCATATGCATGACACACAACACAAGCCACTTAGAAGATAATGAGAAAACTCAGTTTCAAGTTATTTATAAAATATAAAACAGAAGATGCAAAAATTTGATGCTTAGATACCCTAATAACCCCAATTTGTTCTAAATCGTAACTTATTTAACTAAAAACCCATTTGGAATAACTTATAAATAGCTTTTTAATCGTGATTTATGAAATATGAGATAAATATATGAGAAAAGTTTTGTCTCAACTTACATAAAACATGCTTATAAATGATTTCAATCATAATGACAAATAGGACCTAATTCTAACCCAATTAATTAAGTAGTAGGACAGCTTAACTAATCACCAATTGCTAATTCCCAATCACTGAAAGACATAGAGACGAGGGGAAGAAACCCCTTGAGTGAAATATAGTTAGCATCAAAATGAAACTCTGTTTTTATAGCAAATGTTACAAGTCTTTAAAGACTGATATTTACAAAATAATATCATTTACATTCCAAAAAGAACAATTCCAAAATTGCGTATACATCCATAATTATTCCTTTATATCTTATATACACTGTCAATAAAAAAAATACAAAAAAAAAAAAAAAACCCTCAAATGCAAAAGTTCATAACCTTGGTTATATGTTTGCTTGCCCTCTTAACATTGTATAATCAGAACCAAAGGCGGGCTTTTCCATTGCAACATATTTTACTAACCATTCCCGTTAGACGCCAAATGCAGATGCTTTGTCAGATTGAAAAGGTGCTGAATCCTTCTGATTGAACTTCAATTTCACTGTATAAGAATTTGATCCATAGATTTCATATTGACAAACTTTGACTAGGACGAGACAACGATTGAAGAATTATATACATTCGCAATTACCTAAGACACAAAAAAACTTAAATTTGTGCTTTGGCATGAAATATGTAATTCTTCTGCTTTCAATGGATTCACATACCTTAGTCAAGAAACAGTCCTACTTTGTCTTTCAAACTACATTTTCTCTTCGTCAAGGGAACTTTATCTTTACCAGAAAATTCGTCTTGTCTTTTTCCAGGGGACTCCTGGGTGAACTCCACACTTTCGACAATAGACTTGTTCTTCTCCTCCTCAAGGGGTTTCAGCAAAGGACCCAACAAAAGCTCCAGCATCTCTTGAGCAGGATCACCAGTTTGAGAGGTTCTAGTAGGAACCAATTCACCGGTTTTATTTGAAGTGGAACTGTATAGACCCTCCCCTTCGGGAGAAGACCACCTTTTTCTCTCACAATGGGAACCAAGAGAATTTCCATATTCACCTGTCGTTGGAAATTGCTGTACTGATTCAGACTGGCTATTTGATGCTTCTTTTTGTTTCTTCTTCTCATAATCTTTGACATACTGCAGGTAGAAACAAGAAATTTACATCAGCAAACAAGAACATGACTTAATTCTTCCGTAGCTGGGAAACTAGGAATAAATATTGAACCTCAACCCCTTTTAGATTTGCATTATGGCACTATATTCTTTATGCAGTCAAGTATATGATGAGAAGTAATAAACATATTTACATTCACATTACTCGTAAGAAACCATGTGTTATGATTTTCCTTCGAGAAACATTCCAAGAATTTAAATTACCTCCTCCGCAATGGTCATCAGGTCCTCAATCGTTAGCTCTGTGTCATAATCAGTAAAACCTTGAACAGAATTTGCATCAGTATCACCACAACTAGGGTCTTTGACAGTTTGGCTTTTATTTGAAGAACTCTTCAGAGATTTGACCTTAGAACTCTCCTTTTTCTTCTTGTTCTTGTTCTTTTGTGTAGCATTACCATCACTGTTTGCATCCTGTTCACTCAACTTTCTTCTTCTCTTAACTCCGCGTTCTGCAAGAGAGTACGACTTCCTCTTTGAAGTTTCCCTCTTATGACCCACTCCTGCTTTCTTCAGTGCAATTTCAGCATCTTCCATCAAGTCAGGAGCTTCAGCTATAGCTGATTTCCCTGGAGTGCAATTCTTTTCAGCACTGACAGAATTGTGCACAGGGATGGTAGCGGCCGCAACCTTCGGCAGCATCCATGGTGGTAAATACCGTTTGCTTGCATCGCAGAAGCAACTCTGACAATTTCTTTCTCCGAATCATGATTATCGCACATCCCCACTGATAAGGATCTGAGGCATTTTTAAGTTACTGTATTAGATAGGATCAGCAACTCCCAAAGCTGAGTCAATTTTCTAAAGGACAGTCATAGATTTTTACTCAGATCACAGTTTAAGCGGGATGCTAAATTAAACAACAAAGGGCTACGTCAAAAACATCAACAGTATCTGGGATCAATATTCTCCACCCCCTTGCAAATGAGAAAATAAAAATGCAAGATTATGAAGTTTCTCATCCACATACTATCTTACATTAAACTTTAAAGAGAAAACATGGTTGAAACATCAGCAGGTCAGCTTGTATCAGCAATTTTTTTTTTTTCCTTTTCTTCAATTGAAAAACAGATTACGGAGAGAATCCATCTACTTAACTTAAAATATATGATAAGGAATCAGAGCTATAACTATATTACAAGAACAAGTGGTGTTTCCATTAAGGCAAACATGCCAGCACTGAGATCTTGCAAAGTTGCAAGAACATAATGTCTTTACAATATTTTTATTGGAAAACAAACGGATTACAGAGACAATCTATGCACTTGATCTGACAGTACATGATACAAAATCACAGCTAAAAATATATTACAAGAACAAGTCATATTGCCATCAAGGTAAGTAAACATGCCAGAAATGACATTTTGCAAGGACTGGCCAAAGATCCTGAAAGACAATAAATAGCTGTCCCCAAGATCTTCAAAACACGTACAAGTTTACAATCGACGACAATTATTTTTCAACCTTTCGTCTAAATTGACTTGGGAACGAAGCCAATGCTCCTCACTTTAAACTACCCATCTGTAGTGCTAAAAATTTGAATGGCTAATCATTCAGGATCTAAGGAACTTCGATCTCACTTCAGTATTACATATTGGGTTCTGTTACACTTCTGTAACAAGAAGTAGAGAGAGAGAGAGAGAGAGAGAGAGGGAAAGATAGAGGAAGATTGAAGAAGAACAGAGGGAATAGAGAAACCAAGAGGAAAAGAGAGAAACAGAGTGACAAGAGAGACTGAAGAATACTGCACTTCAATCCATGAGAAAACACAGACACACGATTATCCTGGAAATACAGCCTTCTATAGGCAGAAAACAATAACAACTAACAGAAATTTAAATGTAACTAACAACTAATCCTACTAACGACTAACAGCTACTAAACCATAGACTATGACCTAACTACCCTTGCTTAAAAAACACCAATTACAATTATATAACAGGTTCTTTAAGCATATATATTCTTGACTTGACCTACTAATTAACATGACGCGTGTTCAAGACAAGAACGTATCACAGGTGTTGTCAAACCATATTCCATTCCAAGCGTAGATCCAACTTTCATCCCACCACTTGCCCCTCCATCCATATGCAACTTGCCATACATCCTTTTTAAACAATCTCCAAATGGAAGTAAAATTATCTGAGGCAAGTATGCAGGTAGATTCCTCCAATTCATTCCATGTGTTACGGTCACTACCAGATCCTGCCATGTTGATCAATAATCTAGAACCCTACAATCAACTTCACCGTCATTTTTGTTCAAAAAAGCCGGTTCTAGACCTTTATCCTGTAATCTTGCTTAGTTCAACATTACTTCACCCTTTTAGTTCCTTTGCTTTCCACTTATTGGTGGGATTTCATTTGATCACTCATCATCATTTTTAGCACCCACCACTAATACTTCCCTTCTGGCAGATTGCCCATGACAATTATGACAGTCCAAGATCTTCTTACCAATAGTCTCCACAAGTACATCTCCCTCCAATGATTCGGTGAAAACGATTTTTATCCCTTAACGACACTTCTCTTCCATAAACCTTTGAGATCAATTTAGCAAAATTGTGGCAATCAACACAAATCCGGAGGTTTTTTATAATGCGGATTGGCACTCCTTTTGGGGTGGCAATTAAGCCAAAAGTCAGAGCCAATTTTTCACTGTGGCCTTGAAGTATCTTCTCCTTCTGCTCATCATCCACATCATACAGCACACAACTTAAATCAGGAACATAACCAACTTCTTTGAACTTGATTGATAACTCCTTCACCTTTGCAAATATCTCCTCTCTTCTAGGATGGCAACGATCACTCGCATGGAAAGTGTGGAGTATTTGATCAAGCTCAATCCAGCTTTTTCCAGGCTCCTTTATTACAGCCTTCTTCAACATCAGATCTCTCAGTGATTTTACATCTTCCCATCTTCCTACTGAAGCATATAAATTAGAAAGAATAACATAATTCCCAGCATTTCCAGGTTCAACTTCTAGAAGTCGATGGCCCACAAATTCACCTATGTCAACATTTGAATGAACCCTACAGGCACCTAAAAGGGAACCCCATATAGCTGGTGTTGGCTCAAAAGGCATTTCATTGATAAATTTAAAAGCCTCTTCCACTTGACCAGATCGACCAAGCAAGTCAACAACACAACCATAATGCTCAATCTCTGGTTCAACTCCAAGTTTACCATTGGCCATATCATTGAAGATATCCAGCCCCCTATCTTCCAGTCCTCCATGGCTGCAACCAGATAACACAGCCAAAATTGTGACACTATCAGGGTTGACTTTATTTTCTTCCCTCATTAAAGTGAAAAGATCAAGCACTTCTCTGCCCATTCCATGTTTACTATACCCCACTAGCATTGCATTCCAGGATATAACAGTTCTCACTGGCATGGTATCGAAGATCCTCCTTGAATAAATGAGGTTTCCACATTTTGAGTACATGTCAATCAAAGAGTTTTGAAGGACAACAGATGAGGGGATTTCACAGCGAAGAACATGATTATGAACTTGTTTGCCATGATCTAGAGCAGCAAGCCCAGAAAGTGCAGTTAAAACACTAGCATAAGTAACATAATTTGATTGCATTCCTTCCTTTTGAAGCTGGCGAAATAGCCCCAATGCCTCTCCATCAAAACCCAGTTGAGCATAACCAGAGATTATAGCAGTACAAGAAACTACATCCCTTTCTGGCATGCATTTGAACACATCATGAGCTTCATGAATTTTTCCAACTTTGGCATACATGTCGAGAAGTGAGCTTCCAACAAAGATATGAGATTCATAATCTGATTTAATGATAAGTGAGTGGATTTGTCTTCCGAAGACAAATCCAGGAGAACCTGTGCATGAAGTAAGTACAGTCGCAAAAGTGAATTCATTAGGTTTTGTTCCTGCCAAAGGGAATGCGTGATTACCATCAGTATAGGGAAAATATTGGGATAGCAATTTTTTTTGGTCTTTTGATGGGGGGATAAAAAATTGAGCCATGAATGAGAGGCTTTTTCCCCTGGTTAATGTAAGCTTGTGATATCTAACCACCAAAAAAATCTTATTTTCATTTCATTGACACAATGACTTCTCCATAAATTTCTAACAAACTAATGATAAAATCTCAGCTAGACATTTTGCACATCCATGTGATGGAAGAAGCTATTTAACCCACTTGCAAAGTATAGTTCATCATACAATCATCTGGTTCGTCGTGGATACAAAAGAATTTCTCCAAACTTTACACCAAAAGGGGGGAAAAAGATAGCACGATGAACATATGGGGATTATTCCGCAATCCGTTTCTAAGATAATTTTATCAACACACACAGTAACTAACAAGTGAACACCAAGCATACCTGATCTTAACATGTGTAGAAAGAGGGTAAGAGCCTCAGAAGCATAACCCTTTTGAGAATAAGCAGAGATCATCGCTGTCCATGACACCACATTTCTTTCAGGCATTTCATTGAGCACTCGCCGTGCATCATCCAATGAGTCACACTTAGTATAGAAAACGATCAACCTTGTTCTAAGGTATACAGATGGCAAATAATCAGTTTTGATCATGTGGGCATGCACTCTCTGCCCTTCTCTAGTGGCCCTTTGGTTCACACACTCATTCAAGATGGAATTGTAACCTTTGAACTTGATTTGGGGGCCCATAAGGGCCATTTGTAGCAAAGCTTCTTGAAGATGAACATTACACATAGAAGCTATAAAAGCCCGTGAATTTGAAGGGTACGTCACGAATCCTAGTTGAGTGATCAACGTTTCCTGAATGTAAGAAGTTATATATCTTGTTCGAAGCATTGGAACTTGTTAGTTAGTGCATAATTTTGTTTGGCACGATAAAGCCTTAATCGTTTGCTACATCATATGCATTTTCCCCCCTCTGACGCCCAGCCACTAAATCATGGATTTTAAACTCGTTGATCCTCAGGCCAAAAGAAAAAACTCGTTGGTCTTGAAAACCATAATGCAAAACGAAAAATAAATAAATAAGCAAACAGTCTCATATAAGTACTATATTTTACAATGCACATGTTTTAACATTTGTATCATTATTTTTTACCACTACAATATTTCAAAATGACTCAAAAACTTACAGAAAATTCTTTTTTTTTTTTTTGGGTTGTAATGAATATCTTCATCAAAGTTTTGACATACTTGATCTAAAATTCAAGAATGCAAAAAAGAAAAAAAGAAGAAGAAAATCCCATTAGAATACAACATAACAATAAAACAATCTACATACAATGACATATACATTTATATTGTTTGATTCAGTACTTAGTAGTCAACGAGGAAGAATACCACCATTGATTGGGGGAAAAAAGAAGAAGTTATAATTATCAAAAAGGAAGAACGCAAGTTGTGAATGAATAAAATGATACTACATTCTTGAATCCTGATATTTTTATATATACTGTGAATGAAAAATATGTCATGTCAAAACATTTAACTATATATGTATTGATTAAAAACATCTAGTTGCGTGTGCGTGTGTGTGTATTTTGCCAGCACAATTCAATGCATAAATACGTGTTAAGTTACTGTTTATATATATATATATATATATATATATATAATAAATGCATAAAAAAGAAGTAACAGACTACCAAGCAACTAACTAGAAAAAGGAAAAAAGAAGAAGACTGAACATAAGCAAGGAATACAAATAAAAGGAATCAGCATACCTGTACGAAGAATTAGAATAATTTCCATTACTTCCCTCTCAATCAAAAAAAGCTCGAACCAAGTAGGCAACAAGCCGTATCAAGCAATCTAAAATAGCACGAAGTCACCCAAGTGCCACTGGGGCACCACAAAAAGACCGTAATTTTCCCAAAATTGAGTAGAGTACAGCAGATGCCGGCCAGGGAATTAATTAAAAAGAATCCCAATAAAAAAATGGAATGCATGTTCATTCATATAAAATAGGTTTGTCCAGCCCAAATCTCATAGAAATGATTCATACGAAAGGGAGTCGCTGAGATATGAAAATCTGAAGCGTCATATCGAAGACAAAAAGACAAAGCGCACAACTAGAAAGACTCGAACGCTACCTGTTGAGTCGCCGACGACAACAAGAATGGAGAACAAGAACGCCGGAGAGGTTGAACGGCGACTGTGAGAGTAGAGAAGGGTGACTGTGCGTGACAGGAGCTGTTGACGACGCGAGAGAGAGGGATCACCATGGGTCGGGCTTCCCTGCCGTTATCATCCTGTGCCCTCCGCTACGTTTATACGGCACCGTTTGCAATGTTGAGGGGGAAAATGTTTTCGTGGTGGATAGGTCAACAAACAGCCAAACAGGGATGAACGGGCATTTCCTCCTCTCAATCAACGTCAACCAAATCCCCCTTCGTTTTATTTTCTTGCTCCCTTTTCACTGCAAACAGGCCAGCCTCGAGAGACCAGGCTTCAAAACCAAATGTCTGGCCTATTTAAACCGGCAGGACTTCAAATAGGTCTTAAGTTTGGTCTATTCATTAAACAGGTTTAGAACTTTCCACGCCCTAATCCGGACAGGCGTGGGCCCTTAATGAAGACCGGGCTATGTCCACCCTTAAGTTAATAGTCAAAGTTTATTCATTTTTCATATAAACCAGTGTATGTAAATGCATATACATAATTATACATATATATTCCCTATTTCCCTTTTTTCCTGCATCTATATATACTCCTCCGGTCCTTAATATAGAACCCAATTGTTGAGTTAGTTTTGGTCCTAAATATAAGACCCATTTTTTATATTTATCAATTTTCTCTAAATTACCCCTATAGATATTCCATCAACCATAATCAAGTATAAGAGAGACAAGGAGTATTAAGAAAGATGATTATGGTGTTTTAGGAAAAGCGTGTTATATTTCTTATAATTAACTAACTTACCTACCTTCCTTAATCTAATCAAATTAGTTAAATAGGTCTTATATTAAGGACCGGAGGAGTATTCTATACATAAAGTTTTGAATTTTTTCATACGTGACCTGTACATACATAACCTCACCCTATTTAATCTTTTTTATATTGGATCAGTTGGGTAGCCAGACGCTAACCCAAACACCCCTTAATCAGTCGGGTCAGGCAAGTTTATAAAATTTTAACATTAAATTTTATATATTTAAAATTAATAGTAAGTATAATTTATTTTGTCAATTACAAAATAATATCTAGTTCATTTAGCATAATTTAATAAATGAAATATAACTCAATGAGAGTTTGATGCATAAGACATTTAATTCTGATAGAATTATGGCCTTTTTACGCGTCAATACATTATTTTGTGCAGCCATAGCGCAAGACTTTATTTTCATGCATGATAAATAATAAAATGTTCAAAATTCATCGATATCCTTTTCGGGCAAATAGAATTCATCCTTGACATTGTAAACTAATATCTTTATTGATTCAGTTTACCAAATAAATACATATACATGTTCAGTTTCAGAGTGAAGCATAAAGAATGGAACTGATGACTTGTAATGTGAGGCCAACATGCTTCGAAAACCATGAAGCTGCGAGTTCGGAAGTCAGATACAAGTATGATTTCAAAAGTATGGACAAAAGATTCAGGACATGCTAAATACGTTGAAAATTTTTCTCGGCCTATTAGAACGGCGTAGAATCAAACATGGTCTGCAACTGGCGAACGTAAAGAATATATGCACTAAGTATTACAGTTCACTTCTGGTCCCAAAAAGAAAGTATTACAGTTCACCATAAAAGAATATGCGATACAGGTTACAATTTTTCTTACAACTTTAGGTATCACAACATAAACAAACCTAAGTATCAATCAATACCCTTGAGTTGCAGATCGATAATAAGAATAAGCCTAAAGCAGCATGTGATTTACAAGTTTAAACAGCTATATATAAACGAAACGACACAGCCTAAATCAGGTTCACTCAAGATGTCCGAGGTCAAGAGATTTGCTTTTCTTGATATATGAATCCAGCGGTCCAACACAAGGATGCACCTAAATAAATTGAACCCCAATGAAAACCAGATTTCCCACTTATTCTTGTGCATGCCAAAACACAAGACATCATTAGACTTGTGATTCTCGAGGAATTGAACAGCAAACTGCCAAACATGCTTTAACACGTTACATACCATTTCCATTTTTAAGCGGATTCGGCTAGCAAAATAAATAGCTCTTCATCAGTTATTGCTCCCATCTCCATTGCTCTTTCAAGTGCAGTGAACCCATCACCATCTTTAATGGAAGGTCTTGCACCCCTGATTTATAAACACGTTGTTTCAAGTTTTCTCATAAAGCGTGTATCATGAAATATAAATTATGAAAAGCCATGCAATGGTCTCGGACATCTATGAAATAAAATTCAATTTTAATTTGGTAAAGGAATTAAGTAGTATTGGCTTTCAACAAAATTTCTGGTAGATGAGAGAGGAAGGAAATCAAGCCAAAACTGCTTGATAGTTTTACCTTCGAAGTAGAAGCTTTGCCAAAGGATTTTTCCCTCTAGAAATGCAATGGTGCAAGGGAGTCTTTCCATGGGAGTCACGCACATTTACATCGGCACCAAATTGAAGCAACAACTCAACCATTAGGTCACTGTCAGAATGACATGCCAGATGCAACAGTGAACAACCTTGGAGATAGCTCACATGATTATCAGGATCTTGGCTTTCAGTTGCGCTACATCTTAAATCCAAATTTTCTGCCTCAGCATGGTGAACGACATCATCATATTTGGTGTTTACCAGAGTTTCATCTGAAGTGACAATGAGGCGATACACTTCTCGTATGTTCAAAGCCTGAACTGCTTGCCAGATTCTTAGGGCAAAAGAAGGGCTCCCGGGTACACTCTCTTTATGGATTAGTGACTTCTCCACGTACTGTTTATAGTAAGGTTATACAAAAATATTTAGAAACTGGCAAAAGCTGTGGTGGTAAATAGACTTCCAAATCGGAATTGAACAGAACATGGGTGGAAACATGCAAAATTGATCTACTACTAGAAAGAATTGCCATGTGAGATTTTCTTCTTTGGCAAAAAAGGGAGCAGAGAAAAAAAGGATGACAGAGACTAACAATCTGATGAAAGTACTCAGAAAGTTTCTCGTCCATGATTTTTCCATAAAAATAAACACCAAGTATTCATTTCAACTTCTCTTAGAAATTAAAACTGATCATCCTATCCTATGTTATATGCTTATAATTAAATTCCTTGTCAATAAATTTGCAAAGCTTGTCAAGGAGGATGGAATGAATTTGAGTAAGGTGGGGAAAGAAAGTAAACTAATGTTGGGGAAGGATTTTGATGGAATATGGGATACGATAAAATTAGGGTTATCTCAGATATTTGGGATCATTTTATTAGGATTATTTGAATAAGGATATATCGAATACCTCTTATGCTGATAGGGATTTAATTGGATTTCCTTATCATTTATCTTTCTTAGAATTATTTTAGATTTTATTTATTTTCAACAGAATAATATGTCAAGGTGGTCTATATTATCTGGTTATCTTTGTTACTTTTTTCTTAGGGTTTGAATTATTTTAAATATTTTATCACTCTATACATAATCCTACGGTTTCTCATCGCAAGCAGACTAAACTTGATTGAATAAAGTAGGGCCAAAAAAAAAAAGAATGAATAAAGCATCCCATATTTTTTAGCCTCCTCCCTCTTTCTTCCTCTTTTCTCTTTTTCTCTCTTCCCCTTCCCCCCCTCCTCATGTCACATCAGATTCCCAACCCAATCTTCCCGGCTCCTCCAAATTAAAGAAATACCGGAGATTTATTCATCAGGTTCACACCCGGCTCCCATTGATGACAAGATAACTTCCAAAGTGGAATGGGTTACCAACCCTTTTTAAATGGAAGCTTCAAATTCCAGAATACAGACCCATCCCATTGATGACCACTCCACGTCCACTGTACTGAAAACTTTCAAACAAGCTCTTAGACTCACTCATAATAGAAAAGGTGATTCAATGGAATGTTTACAGATACGTGTCTTTACTAAAATCAACATGACAACATCATATTATTACTTTATTTTTATGTGTTCTATGATTGGAAGTCATTGAATGAATGAACTAAGATTCTTAAGAACAGAAATGAAACAAAATCAACAATATGCTTTCTCACTCATTGAAAGAAGTCACATGCCTAACATGCAAAGTCGTCTCTTTCAAAGAAGATAATAGAACCATGCACATCCACCGTGAAATAAAAGTACCAGTACTAACCTTCGCATGGATGTACTTTTCCTTCTCTTGGAAGGCGTCTGTGGGGCATGGTTTAATTGGTGCATTTGACTCATTTTTCCTGCAGATAGTTGTCCGGGCAAAAAAGGATTATTCTCAAGTCAATGATGCTAAACTGGAAAGGGATACAAATGAAAAACAATAACAATTCTCAAATCTCGGTCAATTCAATAACTAAAAGGTGATGAATGTTATTGCCCAACAAATGCGTATGCTAGAAGCAGCATAGGAAAGGGGTTAGGAAGTAATAGAGCGTGGTTAAGACAGTGAATAATAGAAAGGGTCACCCTCCACCTTGTACCCGGCCCATAATACTTTCGAATCAGAGCTAAAACTTTTAATACAGATGCTGAAATCCCATGCTGCACAGCTGATAACCCTAGCACATCAACAGCTTCTTTTCCTTTCTCAGTTAACTGAGGATATTTTCTTTTTCTTCCCTTTAAATTGTCTTCAGTTTCTGTCCTGTTATTACAGTGTGACGGGACTTTTGACTTAAATAAGTACTCTCTTTGTCTGAAATCAGAAAAGGACTAAGTGGATCACACGTATCCTTTAGTCCTATTTATATTGGTGCCTACTGACGGAATAATATAAAGAAAAACAATTTCCAATATTTTCTCAATTTCTCTCCTCCTGTTCACCCTCAATATGCCCAGCTATCAGATTGTTAAAGAGCCCACCTTCTGCTATACCAGGTACAAATATATTTCTTGGATGATGCAATCCATATTGATACTAAACCAGGCCTCTACGTGTCAATGCACAGGGCTCACCCTTATGCAGCACGTTCACCCTTTCTGTACCACCATTGACCCATCCTCTTTTCAACATGCTACCAATCTTCTTCATTGTATATACACATCTCTCAACATCGATAAAGTTGTCAGACCC